GGTACAGGACTAGTACAATTAGACGAGTGATTAGATATGCTTTGTTACGATACCAGATAGAGTGTATAGCATTAGGGTGCAAAACTATTACCTGATTAAGTGGCGCATGATGTAGGGGGTGAGATGAAAAAGTTCTTTTGTTTTTATTACTTTTTAATCAGCTTTTATCTTGTTAATTTTAACTTTGATTTCAAAACTTTTTGCATAGAAGAAATGAGCTTGTGATATACAAAATTATATATTTTCAATATATTTGGAGAAAAAGATTTTCATACCATCCATACCACATGGTAATGCCCTGGTATCACTTTGTACCAAATTTGTTTTTAATTCGAATTTTGACTTTTTTTTTTGCGTAGAACGAACAAATTCATCATGATCTATTGTATCTATAAGTTTCTGATGAAAAAATTTGAAGATCAAATATATCATCCTATACCACTATGGTATAGAGTGGTAACTAGTGGTATGCGGTGACAAAAGATGGTAAATGACAGTTAGTATATTTCTACTATCATGTATGTAACCATTCTACTATTCTGTGTTCATACCACCATTATACATTATATACCACATGGTATAATCTTATGTACACCAATAGGAATGGCAATGGGGCAGGTCGAGGCAGTTATCTCAATACCTATACCCACCCCTGACCCCACCGTCACGGTAGGTCGAGTCTCGGTTGGATATTTTATCATGGGCACGGTTCGGGACAGGTCGAACCAAATAGGTATGTACTTCATTTTGGATAAAAAAATAGGTATATACTTTGAAGGCAAAGCACTTGAAGCATTGATATTCTTCATTAAAAAATAGAGAAGCAAATTATGATACGATAATTGTAGTTAGATTATTCACGAAATTCAGGTTCTCACATATTACAACTTTATTATAACTAAACTATGATGTACATGAAGTAAAACCACAAATAATTTGAGTAAAATTACATATAATTTAGAAAAAAATAGATCACTAATGAGGCGGGTCAGGGTGGGTTATGTTACGCTAAGTACCCATGTCCGGTCAAACAGATCGGGTAAAAAGAATTAGGTCAAAATTGTCATCCCTAGCTACCAAGAATTGCCACATAGTATGGAATGACAATAAATGTCTCAATTTTTTGTTCCAAAATATATCAAATTAGATATCATTTTGAACTACACAACTAATTTGATTTATTTGTGGAAAAAAATTACGACTTCAAACGAAAAAGATATAGCTTGTTAAATTAATTAACTGGCAGAAAGTTAGTTACCTTACATAAATGATAGGTTTACAGTCATGCATGGTTGTGCATAACAAGGTTATGCATGCTATTCGCTCCCCTCTGTTACTATGCTCATAAGTATTAGTTTTTCGTTTACAAAAAATATTTTATGGTACAAATGGAATTTGCAAATTTGATGTCATGATTCAGTATGTACTTTTACTTTTTTTACAAATTTTTTTATATTACAAGCTGAACATATATCTTAACGCGTTATGGTATAAATTCAAATCACACTTAATTCTTTTATGATGCAAACTAAACGTATACCTTCAACGTTATAATAAACCTTCAAAGTTACCTGAAATCAACTATGAATTGTAAAATACATCTTATTTACTCAAAATTTAACAACAAAAAAGTTATTTGCTCGTCTCCCATCTATCACTAGTCTTTTTGCCAATACTTTTTTTTTTTACCAAAGATAATCTTGTATTGATTAAAGAGAGATTGAGCAATTACATTCTTGTATATCAGGAAAGAAAAAAGAAAGAAAATCAAAAGAACAACACATAATCGGGTATAAAGAAATTGTCTTTCCAGCCACCAAATGGGCTACCCTATTACTGTTCGGACCTACAAATCGTACATGAAAACCATTATGATTTGCCAACAAACAAAAGATTTTGTCGATAATGGCTCCAAAATGATTATCTTATTTATAGGCATGGTTTAAATCTCTTTACCAATACAAAAAGAAAAAAACATAACATTTTTCAGCCAAATAATTAATCTAATTCCCTCTTTGTTTGTTTGTTTGTTTTTTTTTTTTACAAAGATAGAATTCCATTCATTTCAATGGTGAAAATAGTACAAACTAATCGTATTACAACATAGGGTAAATGATGTTAAGAACTTGAATCCACTCCTGGTGAAGTGACCCTTTAGCAGCTTCTTTTGCAACCCAGTCCGCATATTTGTTCTCCTTTCTTAGACAAAAAGCAATCTTGATTCCACCATTCACATGGAGGATTTGCCTCATCCATTGAATCCACGCCCTAACTTGCCAAGGTCCAGCTTAATTCCCTCTTTGTTGCTGCCTACCAGTACCATCGATCTACATGGAGGTCATGTTTATAGTCTAACTTTTAGGGGTCGTTTGGAGATTGGGATTTCAAGCGATGTATTTAGCCAATGCATGTAATGTCAAGATTAAGTCGTTTTTTTTTTGTTAAATTTGTGGCAGAATACATGTATTACCTTTTTCTGAGCCCACCCACAATCACTCAAAATGAGTGATTATCAATCTCTACCTAAAGGTGAGATTGTGACCAAGGGATTGTCTACCCTCTACTTTTTCATTTATAACAAAGCACAATGTAAACCTCCAAACAAAGTATTTTTCAAATTCATACATTTAATCAATACATCAAATTACAATACACAAATTGATTAAATACTTCAATTTGGAGAATCCCCATCCATAGAAGTCGTGTTTCTGATCCGTTCTTAATTTCTCCATCCACATATAAGAATCCTGTTTCCAGTCTAATCTTCTTATTTTTTTTATAATGGTGTTTCCAGTCTAATCTTAATTTCCCATCCATATAGGACTCTTGTTTCTAGTATAATCTTTGAATCCTGTTTCTAGTCTAATCTTAATTTCCCCATCCATATAGGACTCTTGTTTCTAGTATAATCTTTGAGTCCTGTCCTGTTTCAGTGTTTCTAGTCTAATCTTAATTTCCCCATCTATATAGGAGTGTTGTTTCTACTTTCTAGTCTATAACCTCCCCCTCCAATCCAATCAAGGAATCAACCAAATAAAAGAAAACAATTTTGAGTCAGAGAGAAAGAGAAAAGGGTACATATATCAAATACATTATAAGTTATGACCTCATGGAATAAGTATCTAGAATCCTAGGAGCTGAAGGAAACAAATAAAACAAAATTAATTTGAAAAAAAAAACATAATAACTCGCCGCCGGCGAGAACCCGACAGCCGGCGAGAATCCTTACCTCGGTATCGGCCCTCAGATCTACTGGTGCGGATCCGCGCAAGGAAGAGAAGGTAGGAGGAAGGCAATATGGATCTGCGTGAGAAAATTCCCTCTTTCTTTACTCCCGTTGACTCGTCTTTTCTCGACTAAAAAACACAATATTTTTGTCAATAATACTACTATATTGATGATTTAAGAAAATAATATTTTGAGAATTAACCCTCCCAATTTTACTGGTCTTATGTCAAGAAACATTATCTCTTGCACTTTCTTCAACAAACCCAATAAAAAAAATCACACCTAACGTAACACACCGAATGAGCATGAAGCCACTGATTTGCCACATCAACGTTCTCTACCCTCCACACAAATGCTTCTAGCTTTCTTCATAAATTAATCCCTCTGAGAGAACTTTAAAATGTTTATTTCTTTTTTGTCTTCTGAATATTCTTGACATCCTTATGAAAATAATATAATAGGGAAGTCATTACGAAATTTCATCTGGTTTGACTATATTCTTAATTCTTAATTGAAAAGTACCAGATATATTTATTCCATCGAAACAATCTAGTTTATGGTGTATGATTTGCAAATCATTTATTGACCTATTCACATTTTCTTTAACCAGCTAGTTAAAAATGACAATGATTCATAATATCCATTCAGAACCAAAATTATACTTATTCAATATCAACAAAAAATACCATTAAATCGTGGCCAATATAAAAAAAAATATTACAACGGTACATAATTAATTTCCTGATGATGATACTATTTTTTATAACTAGGTACGTGAAAAATGCTAATAAATTATATAATATCCAATTCTCTATCAATAATTGTACATATATGGAAGAAACAGTTCTTGACATTATGTTAGTTTTTTTATGGCCTCTTGTGTTTGAATCATGACGGCCGCATTTGTTAAGAAAATGATATCAAGACAAGGGTCAGAGCAACCTTAGGCCTTGGGGGGCTTGTCCCTCCCCCAACCCTCGAGAATTTTGAGAATTACATATGAATCTTCTATAAATTTTAAAAATTACGTATAAACTAAAAATCATATAAATGTAAAGAAGGTTGCAATTCTTAAACAATGGTCATTCCTTCTATCTCAGTGGAAAAGTTGTCAATTTATGAGCCACTAGTCATGTATTGAGATATACATAAATTTCAACCCTATATAAGCTGGCTTTCGTTTAAAGTTGAGTGTGATTCATACACAAAGTCATTCCTGTTATATCAGTGAAGAATATTAGTTATTTTTACCTATGAGATTTAGTTTTGACATATAGGTAATTTGGTCCTTACCTTCTTATGACAACCCTCCCATTAAAGTTAAGTGTTATTTCATGCTTTAACTTCTTAGGTCCTTACCTTCAAACTCAATCCATTTACCTCTTCAAGTTACGATTCATATCTTCCTAGGTAATTTTTGGACTTAATGAATTATTTTTCAAATACTAATATTAACAAATATTCACATTTTTTTAATGAAAATACTCAATAATATATTAATTTACTAATCTATATTGTACATATCATAGTACCACTTTTTAGTTAAATTAGTTTAAGCGGGCTAAATGATTTAAGTGACTTGTCAAGGTAATATTAAAACAATTTAAATTAGTTCCACAAAAAAGGAACAAAATCAATACTATTAAAAATACATATCCAAAGAGCACAAAAACATAGAAAACAAATCCAGAAATTTATTACAGGATAACAAAAGACCAGCCGCGTGGCAGGTCTAAACTGTTATATATACCACAGGTTCAATGTTTTAACAATGCAGTCTTCAATTTCCGTGATCCTCAATCAAGTCCCCAGATACCAAACTCTCGAGAACCATATCCCATGGCGGCAACCACCAAGAGGCAATTCTTTTCTCCCATAAAAGAACCCAGTTACATTAATCCGTTTGCTGCTTCAAATTGATCATCTTGTTAACCTGGTGGTGCGTGCGCTTATGTTTTTTGCAGGTATGCAGTTGTCACGGGAGGAAACAAGGGGATTGGGTTCGAGATTTGCAGGCAGCTGGCTTCTCATGGCGTTCTGGTTGTTTTAACCGCCAGAGATGAAAGCAGAGGCCTCCAAGCTGTGCAGAAGCTCAGAGATGGCGACCCAGCTCTCTCAGACAACATAGTGTTTCATCAACTTGATGTGGCAGACAGTAGCAGCATTTCTTCCCTTGCGGATTTCATCAGAACCCAATTCGGGAAGCTTGACATCTTGGTATGCATATCTGTTCATTTTTTTTATAACACTACTCATCCACCATTCGTTGTTCATTCTGGAGTTGCGGCATCTTTTGAAGTGGCTCTCTATGTCCTGTTTTCTTAATTAGGTGAACAATGCTGGAATTTTCGGGGCGATGATGGACGTAGATGTTATGAGAGCCGTCGGGCCGGACAGGGTAACGCTATTTTCTTATGAATTGATTAGCTTGTCGATCTTTTTTTTATAAGGGTGATATAAGTTTCCGTCATTAAGGTACTATTTAAGGGATTCGAATCTGGGATCTTCAGGTTCTAGGCTAGTACCCTTGTTTGTCTTGTTTGGGTCAATCTTACTTATCTATATCATCTTCCAACAGTGGCTTGAGAGCATTACAGACACATACGAATTGGCAGAAGAATGCTTGAAAACAAATTACCATGGCGCCAAGCAAATGATAGAAACGTTTTTGCCACTGCTTCAGCAGTCTGATTTGCCCAGGATAGTCAACGTTTCCTCTGGCTTGGGGAAGCTGAAGGTATGTTTCACTTGTAGTAAGAGCAGATTCACCTCTTCGTGGCATCAACCATATATAAGTCATAGCTTTTTTGAAGTCTGATTTCTTTGCGTTTCAGAATGTCAAGCATGAATGGGCTACAAGTGTGCTGAGTGATGTCGAGAATCTGACTGAAGAGAAAGTGGAACAAGTGTTGAATCAGTACCTGAAAGACTTCAAGGAAGGTTCGTTGGCAACCAAAGGCTGGCCGCGTGGGGCTTCTGCATATACACTGTCGAAGGCAGCGTTGAATGGTTACTGCAGGATCATAGCCAAGAAGTACCCAAATCTGTGCATCAACTGCGTTTGCCCTGGATATGTGAAGACGGATATTAACCAGAATACTGGGTTCAGAACCCCGGATGAAGGCGCTGAAGGTCCAGTGAAGTTGGCATTGTTGCCCTATGGCGGGCCTTCTGGTCGTTTCTTTGATCAGACAGAGGAGGGTTCCTTCTGATTGGACTTGGGCTATCCATGGCATAGGCAATCAAATATATTCCATAGATCTCAGGTTGCTGTAGTATGGTACTTTACTTATTCAATAATGTGTGTCTGATTGTATCTGCGTATGAGAGACCAATTGGCTTGGCTGCAAATCAATGTCATCATTAAAGATGCACTAAGGCTTGAGTTGTATTATTCAGTATCTCAACAATATATATAGTACATGTACACGTGAGGTAAGGAACTGAAAAGAAATTTACAAGGGAAACAAGTAGCTGTTGTAACAGAAAGCAAGTGCTGAGGAACGTGGGAAAGTGGACTGCAGTAGAATAGGAAGGTTGTTCCTTATCAGTCCCCGCAAGTGAAGCCTCAGTGAGGCGTAACTTGGTGCAAAATTTGGCAAAAGAAAGCCTTGTAAGTGGCTTTGTTAGAATATCTGCAAGCTGATCCTGAGCAGGTAGGTAATGAACACGCAGCTGCCCCTTACTAACTTGATCACGAACAAAGTGAAATTCAATTTCCATATGCTTGGATCGATTGTGAAAGACAGGGTTGTGAGCCAGGAATGTAGCCCCAAGGTTATCACACCATAACACCGGGGAAGAGGGAATGGATTGACCCAATTCAGCCATCAAAGACCGAAGCCAAAGAACCTCGGCAACAACAGTGGCTAGGGCCCGATATTCACATTCGGTAGATGACCGTGCCACTGATTTCTGTTTGCGTGTGGACCATGAAATGAGGTTGGAGCCGCAGTAGACAGCGAAGCCAGTGATAGACTTCCGATCTCTAGGACAGGATGCCCAAGACGCATCCGAATAACCATGAATATGAAGAGAAGAGGAGCGAGTTATATGCAGACCGCGATCAATGGTGCCACGTGCTAGAGTGTAGTATAAGATCCAGCAGAACCTTCTCCCAACAACTCGAGTTATTGGGATCAACTGGTTCTTGACATGGTATCAGAGCTAGCAACGATCAGCTAGTATCGATCCAATTTCGTCTCCTTGAATCTTTTTTTCCTTCTGTTCTCTGCCGTATCTCTGTTTTCGTAGGCACCCTCTGTTCTTCGTCACAATGTCTGGTGCATCCACTGTCCACGACTCAGCTACCTCTGCTGAAATTCCAGTCATCATCACGTTTAATCCTGCAGCTCAGCTGCCTCTGAAGCTCACTCCCACTAATTTTGCTTCCTGGAGATCTCAGCTTGAAACTCTACTTATGGGACTTGATCTGTTCGGATTTATTGACGGCTCTACCATTGCTCCTTCTCGTACGATCACCGTGGAGGCTGCTACTCAATCCAATCCTGCCTACCAGTATTGGTTTCGCCAAGATAAGCTCATTTTACATGCCCTCCGCTGTTCAATCTCTGAATCTATTTATTCCTTTGTCTCTGCGGCATCGACGTCACGCGAGGCGTGGCTCATTCTTGAAAAACTTTACGCGAGTAGTGCTCAATCTCGTGTCATTCATTTGAAAACCAAATTGGCTAAGACGGTCAAGGGAGATAATGACGTTTTGACCTTTGTGAATGAACTGAAAAGTATTGCTGCAGAGCTTGCTCTTGTGAATGCGCCGGTTGCTGAAATGGATTTGGTGGTTCTTTGTCTTCGTGGTTTGGGCGATGAATATGCTGCTTTCTCTGCTGCTGTTCGTGCTCGTGGTCCGGGACTCACATTGGAAGACCTCGTGGATACCCTCGTTGAATACGAATCGGATCTTAAGGCGCAGGTGCGGTCCTCTGTTCCCACGGCGTTTTTCACTCACCCGCAGCAGAGACACGGCGGCGGAGCTTCTCTTTCCTCCCGTTCCCAGCGAGGGTTTGGGGCTTCTCCACGCTACAACAGTCCGCAGCCCAGGCCTTCTTCTCCGCGTGCAGCAGGCCCATCACGGGGTGATCATCACAGGGCCCAAAGCCCATTTCGGCCACCTGTTTATAATGGCCCACCATCGGCTGATACTAATCTCCACCGTAGGCAGCCTGTTATCTGCCAGTATTGTGACAGATCGGGCCATACGGTCCATCAGTGTTTTAAACTGTTTCCACAGGCCTGGCAGTCCCAAGCTCACCACACTGTTGCTAGTCATGCTCCCTCTACTGGCCCATGGTTACTTGATTCTGCGGCTTCTCATCATGTTACGTCTGATTTAGGCAACTTATCACTCTATTCTGATTATAATGGCCCCGATGAGATCCTTGTTGGCGATGGCTCAGGTTTGCAAATCACACATATTGGGTCTACTAATTTGTGTTCTTCGACGTCTTCCTTTCATTTGCAAGATGTTTTATGTGCACCTGCCATCAAGCGTAAACTTATTTCCGTCGCTAAACTTTGTCGCACTAATCCCATTTCGGTGGAATTCTTTGCTGATTGTTTTGTTGTGAAGGATCTTCGCACGGGGGCGCCGCTGCTGAAAGGGGCAAATAATGGCGATGTCTATGAGCTGCCTGGTGATGTGGATAATGTTCGTCTTGCACTTGTAACCACTCGCACAACCTCCGCCTCATGGCATGCTCGTCTTGGCCATCCGTCTGCTCATTCTCTCAACAGTCTTCTTCGTTCTCAGTCCTTGCCAGTATCACCCTCCACCGTCAGTAGTCATTGCAATTCCTGTCTTTCGAATAAAAGTCACAAACTTCCCTTTGCCATGTCTTCTTTGCAAAGCACTAGACCTTTTGATTTATTGTATACTGATGTTTGGGGCCCGGCTCCGATTCCCTCTTTTGATGGTTTTCGTTATTACTTAATAATCGTTGATCATTTCTCACGTTATACATGGTATTACCCCTTGAAAAATAAATCTGATGTGCTCTCTGTGTTTCTTGATTTTCGCAAGATGGTCGAGAATTATTTCTCCACCACCATTCGTCGTCTTTATTCCGATGGTGGTGGTGAGTTTCAGAAATTAAGTTCTACTCTTTTACATCATGGGATTACTCATCTTCATACTCCACCTCATACTCCTGAGCATAATGGTCTGGCCGAGCGGAAACATCGTCATCTTGTCGAAATGGGTATCACTCTCCTGCATCATGCTAACTTACCTACCCTGTTTTGGTCTTTTGGTTTATCCACTGCTGCCTATTTGATTAATCGTCTCCCATCCTCTGCGTTACGTGGTCAAATTCCTTACACTACTCTGTTCAACCTTGCTCCTAATTACCATAAATTGCGTGTGTTTGGTTGTCTCTGTTATCCTTGGTTGCGTCCCTACTCTGCTCACAAATTGGAACCCCGATCTCGTCCGTGCCTTTTTATTGGTTATTGTCCCCAACGTAGTGCCTATAGGTGCTTTGATCCTACCACTCGTCGTATTTTTCTCTCCCGCCATTTCCACTTTGTTGAGCATTCCTTTCCCGGATTTTTGGCTAACCAATCTGCAGATACACCGACCGTAGACTCCTGGTTGCATGATATGGGCTCGAACATTGTCCACATCCCCCTCACTGGGCCTGCTCCTGCATCTGCCGCTGCCTCTTCATCGGCCCAAGGTCCCCGTTGCACTGTTCCTTCCTCGACATCACGATCTGCCACTGGACCAGCCGTCCCCTCTGGGCCTGCTGGGCCTCCGCCACCTTCCCCTTTAGCGACTGGGTCTGCTGGGCCGAGCCCCTCCACTGCTCCTCTGTCTCCTCTCCCCTCCGCGCCTTCCACTTCAGCAACTGGGCCTCCTGGGCTTGAGCTCTCCTCGCCCCGGCCCACTACTACTCAGCCCGCGGTGCCTCCTCCCATCCATCGCCAGCACAGAATGCAAACACGGGCCCAGGCTGGGATTTATCGGCCCAAGCGGCTGTTTCCTGCTCTCCACGCCGCTGTGTCCCACACTGTTCCCCTTGAGCCTCGTTCTGTACAAGAGGCTATGCGCTATTCAGAATGGGATGATGCTCTCCACAAAGAACATGCTGCCTTGGTACACAATCATACGTGGGATCTCGTCCCACGCCTGCCACATTATAATGTTCTTGGCAACCGCTGGGTCTATCGCATCAAGCATCACACTGATGGTTCCATTAATCTCTATAAGACTCGTCTTGTCGCCAAAGGTTTTCATCAGCGTCCCGGTGTTGATTTCCACGATACATTCAGCCCAGTCGTCAAACCGGTCACTGTTTGTACGGTGTTCACCATTGCTCTCTCTCAGGGTTGGCCAATCAAGCAGTTTGATGTTAACAATGCCTTTCTTCAAGGCCCTCTTACTGAAGAGGTATATATGGCTCAACCATCCGGGTTTGTGGACCCACAGTATCCAACATATGTTTGTCGGCTTTGCAAAGCAATCTACGGTCTTCGTCAAGCTCCTCGTGCATGGTACACTGCCCTCAGCTCCTTTCTGCTTGAGTTCGGTTTTCGAAAGACCCAGTATGATGCTTCTTTATTTGTCTATCACCGCTCTGGCGTTCTTCTCTATTTTCTAGTATATGTGGATGATCTTCTGCTCACTGGTAATGATTCCGCGGCTCTTTCCACGTTCCAGCATGCCCTTGCCAGCCGATTTTCATTAAAAGAACTGGGGGATGTCGATTACTTCTTAGGCATCGAGGTTATTCCCACGACCTCAGGCTATGTTTTATCTCAACACAAGTATATGGTTGATATCCTGACCAGATTTCATATGCTTGATGCCGCTCCAGCCTCTACTCCTCTGGCTTCTTCTACCACTTTGTCTCTTCATGATGGCACAACTCCCACTGATGCCACTCGCTATCGTCAGGTGTTAGGGGCCCTGCAGTATCTTGTGTACACTCGTCCCGACATTGCCTTCTTGGTGAATAAGCTCTCTCAGTATATGCACTCCCCCAGCGCCTATCACTGGCGGTGTCTCAAGCGTCTTCTCCGCTATGTCTGTGGCACTATCTCCTATGGTCTTGCTATCCGGCGCACACCCGCACCATTACGTCTCACATCCTTTGCTGACTCTGACGGGGCGGGTAATTTGGATGATCGCACCTCCACCTCTGCCTATCTTCTCTACTTGGGCTCCACCCTCATCTCTTGGCGGTCTCAAAAACAACGCACTGTTGCTCGCTCCAGTACTGAAGCTGAATATCGGGCTATCGCCCATGCTGCTGCCGAGTTAGAATGGGTGCAAAATCTCCTGACCGAGCTCCATCAACCCTTGTCTGCGTCGCCCACGCTGTTCTCCGACAATCTTGGGGCAACGAGTTTTAGTTCCAATCCTGTGTTTCATTCACGAATGAAGCACTTGGCTCTCGATTATCACTTCGTTCGCCGACTGGTTCAGGATGGCCGTCTCACCGTTCGCTACATCCCCACTGCTCAGCAACTTGTCGATGTGCTCACTAAACCACTGGATGCGTCTCGCTTCCTTCTACTTCGGTCCAAGATTGGAGTCGTGGACACGACCTCCATCTTGCGGGGGCGTATTAGAGAATAAGAATACAATTCTTTATTCTATTTATTCGTTATTCTATTTCTCCACTACTGTATAACCACTTTCCCACTCCCTGTAACTTCTCCTTAAATCTCTGAACAACCTCCCTACTTCTCCTGTAAA